ATCTACCAATGTTAAGAGAAGTATTGCTACCTTTTACAGTAGTGGTATTATGGGTAAAAGAAAATATTACGCAGTGCGACTCACTGGGTAACAAAACCAAAAATTGATCCAGTTTTTGTATTATGCAAAAGTGCCATATCCCAAAGTTGTTTGCAAACAATATTTTACACGAAATAAGTAAATTTGAGACTGGCAAGGTGTATTCGGTTGGAGAGTATTTTCAGGAAGGAACAGTTTCTTCCACGTCTTGCTCAATTTTACTTAAGGGAGGACACAAAAGAATCATTGAAGTGGTTTGGCAACCCCCAGGGAACATTTCCTGTAGCTGTAGAGGGAGACAGGTGCCCTTCTGGCAAGAATAAAGAGCCTGTACTTTTTTACTAAGTTTCTTAAATATCAGTAAAAAAGTTGCTACAAGTAATGAGAATTTTGTCATATTTGGTGCCAACTGTGAAGAATCCAGTTCAGTTGTGAAGAGGTTTGTGCAGTTATGTCAGGAAATTGCTGACTCGCAGAGGAAAATTTTTGACATTGAGGGTATCAAAGTTTCTGTTAAATTCGAAGAATTACTGAATGACATGAAAACGCTGGCCATGTTGGCCTTTGAGCTTTCGAACAGTGCAAAGTTTTTTCCTCCACAAATGTATCAAAAGAAAATTGTTCAATTTTAGAGAGGACATTTGGCACTAATGGTAACACCACGTGGTGTCCTTGGGTGTATAAGGAAAGGGTTGCTGTGGCTAATCTGGTAGACAAATTTAAACTGTCACTACCAAGAAAATATCTCCCAGAGAAACAATTCCACACCTAGGTAACAGAATTTATTGCTAACAAAAAGAGCCATCAGGAATTTTTGCCTTTGATTGGCAGATTGACAGATAAAGCCCATGTGGAACCTTTGCAAAAAAATAATGCTAGCAATATATATTTTAGGGTGTTCTTAAGGAAGCTATAGCAAAATCAAATCTCGCTGTCTCCTTCAAAAGTTTCTTGATGTCCCAAAAGACAGCCCTTTTTCGCAAGTTGTGACAGCCAAGTTTGAAGTTAACGCTAAATGCCTTGCCAGAGAAGTTATCAAGTGGTTTGATGAAACACAGGGCATTGGTCAAGATGTACAATGTCACTTCACGGGCAAGGAATCTAGACTCTTTTGTCATAATTTTATGCATTTAATAAAATGGCTGAGCAATGACAAAGACGACCAGCATCAGGAGCAAACAGTTTTGACATATGCATATGTTGGGCTGAAACTGAGGGACTATATGTCCATTGTTAGGTTTCACATCACAGCTGATCAGATAACTCAACTGACTGTAGTAGCTTATGGCGAATGCTTTATTTCTGCCAAAAGCAGATAATTGTACTGTTTGGACTATGGGGCACAGCATACCCAACCATATACAAGCTGTTTATGAGAAATGCAGGCAAGGACTGGGAACTGTGGCCATGGATGGAAGGGAAGCAAAACACATCATCTCATGTTATGTCGAGCCCTGCTTTAAAATGTATAGCTTTCTAGCTGTGCGGGCGATACTTTATTAACTTTCCAAGTACTTTACGCGCTGCTGATAACGTGTATTTTTTGACGGCAATTTAAAGTTTGTTTGCAGTTTATGTTGAGCCCTACTTTGAAGCGTGTACCTTTCCAGCTGTGCAGGCAATAGTTAATTGCTTTTCCAGTTATTTTGTGCTCTGCTGATAACATGTTGTTTGGTGAGCAACTTAGAGTTTGCTTACAGTGCATGTTGCGTCCTGCTTTGAATAGTGTAGCGTTCTAGCTTTGTGGGCAATCCTTTAATGACTTTTCATTTATTTTATGCTCTGGTGATATTGTGTAGTAGTTTGAGAATAATTTTGAGTTTGTTTGCAGTTCATACTATTTTTCCGTTTTACAACGTCTAGTTTTCAGGCTTTCCGGGACATTTTAAATTGATTTTCCAGTTATCTTGTGCTTTGTTGGTACTGTGTAGTTTTGCAGGCAACTCCTGATGTGTCCTACTTTAAAACTTGTAACTTATTAGCTTGGCGGGCAAGTGCAGTTGGCAATGTTTTGCTTCGAGTTTCAGGCAGTTTTTTTAGGAGCTTTATCACGAAGTTTACCCAGATTCATTTAGGTTCGACTTTCCAGTTCTTTGTATGCCCTGCTGATAGACGTTGACTAGTTGCTTTGTGGGAGATTTTAACCAAACCCTCCAGTTCACATTAGGGCCATTTATATGAGGAAAAATACCATTTATACGAGCATGTCTTATCTAATAAGACGCGTCTTAGCTAAGCCGCGTCTTATTTTACAAGAAATGTGCCGTTTATACGGAAAGTTCGCGTCTTATTTAAGACGCGTCTTACATCAGACGCGTCTTATTTTTCCTCGTATAAATGGCCCTATTATGTCCGGTTTATTTACCATTGCCTGGTTGCTTTCTGGATACTTTTAATTCGTGTGCAGTTTATATTGCATCCTGCTTCAAAATCAAGTAGCTTTAAACTTTTATGGATACTATTACCATTTATTTTATGTCCTGTTAATAGCGTGTAACTGTACTGCCTTGTGGAGAGTTTTGAGTTTGTTTTCCTATTTCATTTTTTTGTTTTGCTTCCAAACAAGTGAGGCGCATTCTTCATTTTGGAATTGTTTTATTTTTCCTTCTCTCTTTCCATTCCCCAGTGTTTGCACGTAAGCGCATCATTTTACAAATCATCGTTGTACTTCATTTGTTTTACTTGCTATTGTTATGTCTATTGTTGCTTCCGACACTTCAGAGAAAAAAAGTGTTGCTGTTTTAACTAGAAACTGCAAATGCCCTATCAACACAGGGCGTTTAAGAGAGGATACAATAAACAAAATTATGCATGGTTTGACAATGTTCCCTTAAACTCTCTCGCTATTAGTATAATATTATCTTATAGAGGTGTTGTTTGGTAATGGGCGCTTCAAAGGCAATTTATTTAGTTCACTGTGCATTTATTGTATGTTTACATTCAGGGTTTGCGATAGAGGATTAAGTTATTAAAGAATGCTCAAGGGACCTCTATTCATGCATTAATCAGCCGAATAACCAACTATGGTGGACATAGATGGGAAGATTTTGAAAAATACAAAGCTTTGCACCTTTTAGAAGAACTCGTTTCTGTGGGGAAGACTACCACCGACACCAAAGAGGCCAGTCATGACATCATCGCAACCACCCTCTGGGAGAAAATCCATGTCCCGAAAGAGCAATTTAAGGCTTACTTCCTGGCTCTAAAGGCAGATAAGGAGTATACAAGGATCTTTGATACCATCTCCAAAGTTGATATGTCGTTTAGACATCCTGCACCATACTTTAGCACACAGGCCAGAGGCAATCTGAGGTCTTCCCCTTAGCAATGAGTAACCTGGTATGGGTGCGGAACCCCTGGCCACAAGACTACAAAATGTTGGAAGAGAGCTCGACCGGCCTGTCAGTAATACGAGTTTTGATGCTAGTAAAGTCAAACAAACATCATTACAATGTATGTTTTTCTTTTTATAAACCCCCCTCCCTCCTAGTTTAGCTTAACTCCTTCTCATTGTGGTGGTATGGGGTTTAATTTTGCGAACACATTCAGCACCTTTATTAATTGCTGTCAGAGAATTTTCCATTTCTACTCCATGTTTCTCCCCTCAAGTGGCATTCTCAAAGGGAAGCTCACTTTCCCTCTCGGATTACCAGTACTGGGTTTGCCATCCATTGGGCCCTTATAACTAACAATCTTTTTTTCTTTTCATTCTAGTTCGCAAACCCTTGTTTTCATGACTGAAAAAAGTACTAGTTTCAAGCCTAACATAGTTACTACGAACGAATTGCAGTGGACAGACATCAAAGGATCTGTTATTGTTGGGGCCCAAGGGATGGGAAACAATGCCCACGTCCCAGTGGCGGATATAGCCCTGGTGTTACAAGGAAAGTCATTAGCAGATATGTCATGTCTTGATTTCTGTGATCCAAATCACTTTCGGGCAGGGAAACTTAATGCCATACACCACAATGGCTTGCATTGTCAGATGATCTGAACAACAATTGCTTATCCGAAGTCCGTGATTGGAATACTGACAGTGTGGATGTTATCACGTTTTTTACTCTGTTTAAGGGTATTAACAAAGGAAAGAATTACCAGTGTAGTAGTCCACCACATTGTTTTCTCCCCAATAACATATCATGCAAACCGGTTACTCTGTTTATATCTAATATGCTCATGGACCATTTCCTTTTGGGGCAAAGTCAGAGAATGCACCCCACCTAGCAAAAGGCATCTCTGTAACGATGACAGATTACTTCATCTTTGAATTGAAGACTGTCCATTTTCTTTTGATAGTGTCCAACATTTGCCTAATTATGTTCATAAAGGTATTTAACAGACAGTGTGTGACAACAAGTCACGATGTTTCCCTCCTGTGATTGAAGGGCTACTTTATGTTGAAGATTTCACCACTGATTTTCGAGTACATGACTGTGCATGGAATTTATTTGCACTTGTAGTTGTAAAAGAACAAGAAGTATTAGTCAACTGAAAAATTAAATCAATATTACAATGATTGGCCTATCCCTTGGGATCTCTGGGTTTTCCATGTTAGACAGGAGTAGCTAGTACACTGGGAGAGCAAAGGACATTTCACTGTTTCTTCAGATTCATAATTTCCTGTTATGCAAATTGTTGAAACAAATGTTGTGAATAAATTATTCTTGACTAGAATATCTGTGGACGGTTTTTTTTATAATCGCATTAATAATTATCTCCCCTTTTCTTTTGATCTTCTTTAGCACCTATCTTTCGCTGTGTGAGCATTTGTTCCAGCTGTGTCATGTCCTTCATGCAGCTGCCCTGACGACAATCTGCTCCTTTTTTGAATTCCCAAAATGTTCAGACTTCTAACATTTCAGTCGACCTTCGAGCGATAGATAACAGTTTACAAGACCTTAAAAATGCCTCCTACCAGTCAGCATACTCAAAGCAGAAGTGCTCACTTCACACAGAGTTAGAGAAATTCTTGGCATCACTTCCGAATAGTAAAACCATCCTTCCAGCAAGCCCTACAGATATTAATTGCTTCTTGGCCTGGAAAGACCTGCATGGTAAAACGGTAGTCCACAGTGATGGGTGTTCTGACTCCCACCTCCAAAGTACCGCCAAGTGTAAATGTGCTAAATGCCTAGGATGCAGGAATTTAATGGCACCCTCCTCTGACTTCTTTGAAAGAGTTAAATTTTCTGACTTATACTGAGATGGCCTGGCATGACAACTATGTCACACCCTAACATTGTGAGGAGATTTGTAAGGAGTTCTGAAATACAGATGTTCTTTTCCAGTATTAAATAGGATCGAATATAGCAGGCCAGCAATAATAAAATTTGTGATATTTGACCTAAAAGACACAACTGTGTTTATGTACAAGGCTGCTTTAAATATAAATATATTTTACTTGGGATGATTTGGGAAATGTAATGAAAATTGTCAACGAAAATTTTGTTCAGTAAGGATTTTGTTGATAAATTCTGTAACGCATCCCCTATACATGTCACATTATCAGTGTTCTAAATTGTTCATAGTAAAATAAAGCTTACTGTAAAACCCTTTGTTGCTCATAGTGTAAAGACTAACCAGCTGTCCTCAGTCCCTTAGATATTCTTGACGTGTTTTGTACAGATTGTGTAACTTTTGCTGCCTATCATTGCATCAAAGAAGATAACTTTGACTATATGCACTTCAACTGTTGCCTGATCTCCTGAACTGTTGGCAGTCTGTGTTCCCTCTCTTCATCGGCTTCGTTTGCAGTGTAATAATGTAGTAGTTTGTCACTGCCTCTGTACATGTCTGTGGTCGCTGAGTTGACCACATTGCTTTCACTGTGCTAAGGGATGTTCTCTGTGCTCCATGGTTTCCCATTGTTACCTTTTTCTCCGCTCCTCATCCTAGATTTCAAGCCACTGTTCTCGCTCTTGCAGTGTTTCGTTGGTAAATCTTTCAAGGCAAGGATTTCCAGCCACTTGTTGAATCTACTGTTGTTGTGTTTGCTGTTTACTGTCATTGCCTGAGACACTGGTGACTCACCCGCCATAAACATTGTTATAATTCACAGATGAAAAGCCCGTCAACTCTCATGAATAAAACTTTTTCCCATCAGCTAACTCTGATTCCTAGAGGGAAAAAATTGATCGGCTCTATCACACAATGAATTTACCAGTCTACATTCCTTATTCTATTAATTTATAACATCTGAATTCAAAGAAATGGCGGAAGGAACTTGCTTTAAAATCTTTCCTTACACAGCGACCTATTTGAAGAAGATCTAAAAGAAACTTTAAGCAATACAGGCTCATAACTTCTAGGGTCTTATACCCAGGGTTTTACTGTTCACAATTCTGGCTTGTTTTTTAACAAAATCACTTTACATTGTTTGCATTGGTTCTGGTTTCTTTCTTATTTAGTGTTGTGCGACAGTTAGTAGCATAGCTTTGGTATGTCAATCCATTATTTTATGTAATAAAGTTGTGCCAGTTTCTGTTTTTGAAATAAATTATATCTTTGTCATCAAAATTCTCATATACCATAAAACAGAAGGCCTAATCTGCAGGTAACAGGTTGTGGTCTGGATGAGTGCTCACTCCTTCCCTAGCATAAAGTTCAGAGAGTTCCCTGTTGAGCGAGCATAATATTACTAATATAACTTAATAATTTTTATTCTATAAAAGGACAGCTAATACACCGGGCAAGCATATTTTGTTTCATGTTTTTCCAACTTTCCATGTCCCCAGATGAATTCATTATTGAAGTATGCTTTAAAACTGGAAAAACTGTTTGTTGTGAGAATTGAAGATATAGTTAATTTAACCACCTCCTCCCTAAGGTTAGTGTATAATCAAATGAGGCTTCAAATTTCTTGCTTAAACCCACTTCCAACTTTCATGGGTGAGAGGGTTGGATTTCAGTTGAATGAGGCATATGTCTTCCTGGGCGTGTATCTCCTACAAACTCAAAAATGCTTTATAATTTCTGTAATGATAAAGAAAAAGTCCAATTGAGCATGAATAAATATGATGACAAATAATCTGAAAAGCTTGCTGATTAACTTTTGAACAAGACTTCTATCTTAAGTTTTGGGAAGAAATTTTAACAGCTTTTTTTGGAGTTGAAGAACCCCAAACTGAATTGATGTTTTATTAAATGAAACTAGCCCCTCAACTACAGTAATTTCTAATATAGAACTGCGAGATTTAAATTCCAGTTTGTCCTGTATAATTTGTACCCCAACCGGCCGGTATAAATAGTATTAAGCTTAACTTATGAACTCTAACGACCTGAAAACTTAGCTAAACTCCACACAAGGTCATTTTGTTGTAAATTGTTAAAATGACCGTCGCTACCTTGTTGATCATTTTGGTATTCTGCGATAGCCTTGCGTGCATTAAATGACAATACCACTCACAAATTGTTAACGGCAGAAACTAGAAATCCTGTGTCTAAAGACACACTGTCACAAATATTGTAAGAATTGTAATTGCTTATTTCTTGTTACCTGGATTGGAGGCAGCGCCAGGGCCAGACACTGTACTGTTGTATCTTCGTATAACAAATCAAGGTTCGGTAGATGCAAGTTGTCTCTCTTTGTTCCATACGATCTTCAAGATAAGTCGTGAACATTCTCAACTAGTTTTTTTTCTTTAGTCTTTAGCATTGGCCCTGCGCCCTTTGAAAACCCGTAATGAAATATTGGCAAACTTATGTGACTTTGGTTATACAAGATGGTGGCTTACCTTTAATCCTGGGCGATCGACACTGGTAGACCTGGGCTCGATTTTGTGAGCCAATCGTAGGACACTAATTTACCACGCCCCTGACCCGCCTCCGGTCCCGCCTCCTTTGACTCGGCCCAGCTCATCAAATTTTTTTACAACAGCATTTTCTTTTGCCATTCGCATGCTCGGAATTCGCGATGAAAATTTCTTTCATAGAATCAAAGTCAAAAAGACTTCTGCAAAGACTGATCAAACAGTGTGAAAAAGGCTAAGGTATATGATATTTCGACTGGCCAATACCAGCCTTCATCAGGTTTATTTGGGAAAAACATGAAGAATATACAGAAAATATACTACTGTAAAATAATAAACGGAAGTTACAGATGTACATGGTAAGGATGACATAATGAAAATAGTTTGTTGCGTTTTTTAATTCCCAGAGGCCTGATGGTTTTAGCTTTATGAATGACGGGAGCCGTACTTTCGTAAGACAATCGCGTTCATATCTAAGTGTTTCAACTGTGACCCTCCACAGGATTTTAATGCTAAAGGTGAAATCACGGGCACGACATACTTTCACTTTAAAACAAAAGAATTTATTTTAAAACGCTTTAGCACGCTTGCGATCTTGCCTCATTAGCAATTTCTTTTGTTTCAGAGGACACGCTTGAGACAATTAAGCGTGAGCAAGTCGAACAAAAGAGCCTGTTAAAGTTTTCAAACAAAAGCCCCATGCGAAAAAGCACAACACGCTTTCAGTGTGCGCAAAAGCACACAGGGCGTGTTATCTATAACCTAAATAAATTTCCTCTACAAAAGGAACGGCAAATGATTATGGACGGCACCCTTTTTTGGTAACTATCGAGAAAGAAAAAGTTCTACCTCAGCGATTGCAACGATTGTATGTGATTGAAAAAACGTTGTCGCTTGAAAAGTATAAAAATTCCAAAACAGTTTCAATTGGTATATTTAATTCACTTCGACCAGTTATCAATACTGATTAAATCCACTGAAAACCCATGCCATTTTTATCATCTTAGCAATTTTAGTAATCAAGAGTGTTCAGCGTGTCTTACCCAAATTGCATGCTAAGCGTGATATAATTCGCACACTTACCATGACACATGGCACGCTACAAAAAACAAAAGGTCTAGCGTGCGTCATCTACCAAAACTTTAATAGGAATGGTACTGAGAATTTCCTCTACCATCCTACCACATATTACTGTTCTCAGTAAATAGCAACTGAAGAGATTTGCACAGAATCGAAACTGCCGGTCTTGCTGGAGACCACACAGTCCATTATCAAACACCATTGATAATGTCAACAGACAACGAAGAACTACAACAATACCTCACATCGTCGGCGTTAGAGGAAGACTCGGATACAGATCTTTTGGAAATACCAAAAACACCAGAAGGTAAACCTGATAAAGACGAGCTGGACATCCAGTACAGCAACGAATTTGACATTCTGAGCAAGCCCTCCAGCATCACAACTTGAACCTAGATACAAGAAACACTACCAATACATGAAAGAGAGCAGCCAACCCAAAGAATTCTCTAAAAACAGACGGCCCAACAAAAAAGGAAACACATAGACACAGTCTCCTTGGAGACTAACATCACAAAGTCAGAAGATTCCATCAGGAAGCTAGAAAGACATATGAAGGACAAGACGTGTCCTAAATCATTCCAACACTTGGCAAGGGCAAACATCCCGCCGGATGAGACATTTGTGAAAGATATAAAACAAATCAAAGAAGAAACAGAACAAGGCTTCATCTACGCCCTCCTACAGTACCACAAAAGACGCCTAAACTGCCAAGAGAACAAACTTAAAAAGGCTAAGCTCTCAAAAAATACTAGCACATTTGCTAGCACTGATGTAAATAGGTCGATGCGAGAACAGTCGCACTCGGCGAACACAGAAAACATTGTTAACCACGATGTAAATAAGGTAGATAAACTGCAGCAAGAATTCAACGAGCTCAAGCAAATATTGTACACACATGTATTGCAGAATTCTGCAAACAATAAAAATGTTGAAAAGTACAACAGTCTTATCTCTGAAAACCTAACCACCCCAACGGGGGTTCAAAATAAAAAAGGGTACAAAACAAATAACAAGCACAAACAGCGCAGGAAAAAAATGGCTAAAAAACGCATTGAGACACAAAGAAAAATAACGAGAAATTCATAAGGAATTTTTCAAACCAACAACTTAGCGACAGCCAAGTCAGCGTTCTTTCTAAAGGGCTCAAATTTGTCCCGACACCGGTGACAGATGAGAATTACATTAGACGACAACTTTTGCTAGACTTCGAACATTTCGCGAGACATATGTGCCTGAAATACATATTTCACAAAGAAAATAAAGAACCGCATCCATTCCATGTCAAATCTGACTGGAATCCACCGGTTCAAAAATCAGTTGCCCTAGAAAGCTACTTGGAAAGCATGAAAATCCAACTTGCAGAGATTAAACCAATGAAACCTAAAAATAACCTGTCACAGCGAAAATAAAGCTCTAACATAGCTGAAAAAGAACACTAACATCGTTCTAAAAAAGGCAGACAAAGGCACAACAACCGTCATCATGAGTAAGTGTGATAAAATACAAGACGCTCAGATTCAAATCAACAACAGTCAACATTATAAACCTCTCCGAAATCTCATGACTGTGGAAACATCACAAAGAGTTCACGAGCTCGTCGCACAATTGCATCAAAATAACTTTATTGATGACAAGACAAAAAAATGGTTTTCTCAGATGCGAGATCCGCCAAGAATACCAATATTTTACACCCTTACTAAGATCCACAAACCAAATCCAGTCAGAAGACCGATAATTTCGGGCTGTGAAGGCCCTACAGGAAGATTATCATTCTTTATGGACAAACTACTTCAGCCCATCGCACAAAAACAGAAATCGTATGTAAAAGATACAACGGATTTCGTAAACTTCATAGAAAAGACAAAGGTCTCTCAAGATACTATCTTAGTATCAATGGATGTAACAAGCTTGTATACAAATATACCACAGGAAGAGGGGATCACAACAGTACGCAGAGCATACCAGGCATTCCACAACAATAACCCTCCTATACCGTTACACTAACTCAAAGAAATGCTTAAACTTATCCTTCAGGAAAATTCATTCCAATTTATTCAAAACAATTATCTTCAGACCTATGGCACTGCAATGGGTACAAAAATGGCCGTTGCATTTGCAAACAGTTTTATGGCCGATATTGAGACAAAAATGATAAGTCAAAGCAAAACAAACCAATAGAAGGGAAACGTTTTATTGATGACATTTTCTCACTATGGGACAGTGACAAAAAGGAAATTGACCTGTTCATTGAACAAGCTAACAACCTCCATCCTATAATTAAATTTACGATTGAAATTCCAGATAACGAGACAACCTTTCGACACTATTATTTTTAAAGGGGAACGTTTCAGAAATGAATCGATCCTTGACATCCGTACGCAGTACATGCCTACTGAAACCTTTCAGTATACACATTTTACCTCGAGCCATCCACTGGGTGTGAAAAGAGGTTTTATTAACAGCGTAGCACTCAGACTACTGAGAACAAACTCTTCTGAAACAATGTTCCATGAAAGTATCTCAGATTCTAAATCGCGCCTTAAAACACCCGGATACCCGCACGATATGATACAGACAACGTTATCGGAAGTCAACTTCGTAAAAAGACAGTCAGCTCTACAACAAAAGAAAAAAACTCGCAAACAAATGTTGCCTTTTGTCACAACATACCACCCATCAGTGCGTAACCTTAAAAATATATTGATGCAAAACTGGAACTTAATACAAAATCAGCCTTTGCTGAAAATCATATTTAAAGATCCGCCAATTATATCTTACAAGAGAGGACAATCTCTTAAAGACATGCTCGTCAGGCCAAAAATATAAGACAGCGTACATAACAATGACCACACCAAAACGCAGTGGGTCGTACAGGCCTGTCATTGATTATTATCACATGCTCGTTAGGACAAAAATATAAGACAGCGTTCACAAAAATGACCACAACATAATGCAGTGAGTTGTGCAGGCCTGTCATTGATTATTATCTAAATTTACCAAAACAAAGGCAAGTGTGTCCGTCTTTGTTTTTTCAATTTAATATGAGCATATCCATGATCTACGGCACGCTAAGCGGGTCGTGAAAGCGTGTCGTGCAAGCCTGTCGTGAGCATACTTTCCACCTATATTCACTTTTATCATTTACCATAATTTTACTATTTTCTGGATGCTTTATGAAACTTCCACGTAATAACCAATTCAATAAAGATACATCATTAACACATCCCTTGACTTTTATTAATACCTTAATGCAAATTCTCAGCAAATTTGAGTATTCCAGCCACACAAAACAAGACAAATAATTAGAAACACATGTATACACCAGGCTAAAAGTGGTACTGAAGACCTTGGGCACAGTTTCGCCCAAATTCGGACCTCCCAGCCGGTGAATAACATATATGTATTGGCCAAAGAACTATTATATGATCCAAGGGATTGCAGTCACAAAGTGCCACAGTTTATTACTGTTTGCATTGTTCCTCTTCCCTCTTGGCTTTGATTTCCTCGGTCCATATGGACAATATCAACAATATCCCTGCGTTTTAGGAATGTCTTGGTCCTCAAGGCGAGTTTCAGTAAAAACTTTCAGCAAATTTTTGACACAAATTTCTCTCCAACTATAAGCCAAACCAGTCAATTTGGAGACGCTCATTTACCTCTAAGTATAAGCTTAGTCGATTTTGAAATGCAAACGTCTCTCCCTATGGAAGCCCCTTCGAAAAAGTGTGCCTCCAAACAAGGGCCTTTGAAAAATTTAACCCCTGGGCTTATTTTTGGAATTTTACGCTATTGTACACCAACGTTGAGCAGAACCTCAAGACGATGAGAAAAAAAATCCTAAAATCAACTGTAGTCTATGAATTTACCTTGTGAACCCATATTGTCCGAATTTGAAAGAAAAAACATGATGGAAAGAGAAACAATGTAACATCTGTGAATTGAGACTTTTTTCCCCGTTATTTTGGTCCTTGCAGATAAAGTGATGCTGAAGTGCATGCTGAAGTGCTCTTCAACAGCAGGAAGGACTTTTGAAAACCAAGGCCACTGGTACTGTGCTTACTGTTTTCAAATTTGTGAGATGAAAAATGCAATGACTGTACATCTCAACACTCACTCCAAGGTCAACATGTCTCTTCCATTGATCACTAAAGAGAGACAAAAAAATAACTCTGGAAATTCGAGAGCAGCACGGCAAGCTAAAATTGAATGTCCAAAGTGCTTGAAAGCTCATCCTCACAACAAAGCCCTGCAAAGACACATTTGGGATCAGCATACTCGGAAAATGGAGGCTACTATATCCCCGGGCAGACACCTCAAGGGAGCCTGTTCAGTAACCAGACAGAGTGGTCATCCTAATTTTGACTGCATACACTTACAAAGTGTACAGTACCCACACCCTTTTGAAAAACCCATAGATCTTTGCGGCGAATCTTTAGAAGAAAGAGTAGGTGGTTGTTTTAATTGGTTCTCCATAAAGCAAAAAGATGTTTGTGTGGCAAAGGGGCAACAAGCTAGTGAACTCGGTAGTCCACTTATATTTCGGTTTCCATGTGACAAGTATGGTGCACATTCTCGACCTTTATATTTTTCTATTTTTTAAGGCGCAGTTCATTTCTGGACATGTTTTTTGCCGGGTAGAAGTTTCATACGACAGAAAAACAGCCAAGTGGTCGTGCTGTTGCTGTCAGATGAAAATATCCTGTATACACAAAGCAGCGTTCAAATGATACCTCTACCAAGAAGAGCGGCATCTACTTGAGGATCCAACGACTGAAACTCAACAAGACTACAAAACAGGCGAAAGAAACAGACAAGGACACAGAAAGCATAGGTGTTGAGAAGCTGTGCGGCTTATACCCCCCAACAAGTAGCGGCCTCAAAGACGCTGTGGAATATCAGATGCAGATAAGGGTACCTGCAGCAGATAAGTGTACCTTCGGCACTAAAGGGCAAGCAACTACACGAATTTCCGTCTTTCCTTAAACCCAAGGAGAAAGAATGCTACTATTGCCACACATTTCTCAGCACCCCTTACGAAATAGCCAGTTGAGCCATGATGATAGGACTGACCAAAGTTTAAAGAGGTAAACGTCTCCGTCCTTAGAGTAACCCCCTTCTTTAATGAAAACAATCATACCGTCATGACAAATGGTTACAAATAGTTCACATCTGGTCAGTCAAGGAGAGGACCAGTGGTGTTCAATTCGGAGCACCGAAAGTGTACTTGAATTTCATCTGATACCACCAACAAAGAGAATGGAGAAGCCGAAGTTGCAAAGGCTATGTCTGAGGAGGAATTGATTGACATGATGCACTTTGGGCAGGTAATGACATCCATTGTTTCTATGAGAGTAATATCTGATAATAATAGCTTCTCGTCCTCATATGGTGGTCTATTGTATCAAGTTCGTTCTAAGAGGAGAGAGCCCTAGGGAGACGACAGAGCCCTACGTTGACATTTTGCGGTCTCTTGCATTCCCACCGTCCATTAATATCTTCGATATGCCACATTGCATAGCCAGACATGCGAACCACACCGTTCAGTATTTTTTCAGGCCAAACCAGGGACCGCGGAGACCATTTTAAAGTGGTGGGGCTAAAAAATCTGGCCAGTACAAAGAAGCATTGAGGTCAGTGTTTTGCCATTTATCTTGCATTTGTGCGCCATCTTATTTACAACCTCAGCAAATATAACATAAATGTCGTCACTTGTTATAGTGTTCAGTATAGCCAATATGTTAAATAAACCTTCCTAAGATTGCTACTTTTTGAACTTGTCCGCAATGCTAAAGTTTCTCTTGAGGTTTTCATTGCAGGAAACAAACTCCTGTGCGACTTCAGCTATAGAGACACTGTCTGGTCTCCGCTTGTGACCATTCCGGCAACACTACTAAGTTGCTAAACCTTTCGTCACGCATCTTGGATCGAAGCGACGTCTTCAGACGCCGTGCAGATGAGAGTGAACGCTCGCCAGCAGCACTGGTAACAGGATTTACAGCAAGCAGCTTACAGATAGTTTGGACTTCCTGAATTAGCCTCTTTTCTGGTTCTGGAAACTATAACACCGCCAACAGGATTTCGTTAAAACATGATATCTTCTCCTCCTTTAACATAACTTCCAAAATACTTAGTTGCTCAGGTAGCGCCCCTGTATCAACATCTTCGCTGTATGACGCATCACGAAACTGAACTCTGCCTCGTCGTTACCAATATGAGCTTTAACCAAGAGGGTCTCCATCTGGGCGTAGGAGCTGAAGCTTTCCTGATTAACGCGGTGATATATAGCCCGACGATAAGATGAATACCCTCATAATAGACCCCTCTAAAGTGATCTTTGGCAGCTTGGGGATAGCTTGGTGCACCAGCACCAACCTCCAGTCTGACCAAAGTGCGTCGTTTTCTTGGAAGCGTTGGTTCGCTAAGCAGGCCTTCACTCTTGCAGGCAACATCAGCATAGAAATGGTCCAAGCTTTCATCAGTGCGAAATTTTGTCAGCGTCTTCTTTGTTAGTCTTGGCAGGCATTGTCCAATGACAGCAGCCATCTTAGTACCCTGAAAATTCTTAGATAGATTATCGGTGTGGGAATAAAGGTGCTCTCCAAGATGAAAAGCAAAGAAAAAATTAAATCACTCCTTCCATTTTGGGCCTTACATCTTATTATCCTTGCAAGCAAATCAGGTTGTAATCGTTCGGACATACAAACACCCAACTCTTCAATAGGGCAAAGTCCAATAATTCCACGGGAATTTTTTTCCATGTCAACTGGAGCCCTAGAAAATAAATCCCAGCAATAAAAGTGGTAGGGCTATAGCCCCACCAACTGAAGAGAATATCACTGCCGTGAAATAAGGGCATTTGGGTTTGGTTCTTCATTTACCTTGGGTGCAAGGTTTAAACATCCTGAAAACATTTCAGTTTTCCTTCGGTGGAGAGAAATCACAAGAAGAAGTTCATCCAGCCACTGGAGTAACAGATAGATATTCCGTTTGTGATCATTTTCATGAAAAAAATTTGTCAAGTGCGCCGGATATACCGCGACGTGTGATGCTGGTTCCAGAGCTGAAGACTGTCATCAACACTGAAGTCGAGGAACAGTTACACAACAACATCAACCGCTCCAACTACACCTTTCATATGATGCTTCCTGGAAATCATCTTTTTATGATGCGCCACAAAATCCACCTGAGTAACACTCACATTGACAAGGTGTATAGGCGCAAATTGGAGAAGGCGATTCGTTCTTACACTGGGATGGCAAAAGGACTGCAGCATGACACCAGTGGAATCCTTTTGCTACAGACCACTCAGTGTATAGAAAGGGAGAGTCAAGGGGAATAAGAAAACGCCAATGAAGGACATGACCTAACAGCCGTAGGGGACAAGGAAGCACCTCAAAGACAGCATGACACAGACTAAGAGACAAGTTTTGCTCAACCTGTTAAACAGGGAAATAGCCCCAAGGTAAATTTTGTTTTTGAAATTCGGCGATTTCAAGGGGACCCATGTAAGTGCCCCCAGGCACGAGAATCAGAGGTTGAGTTGATTTATTTTGTTATGTTCTTTTTTGTCATGCAAGTGCCTTGACTAGTCAAGTGTTAATAATTAACTCGCACGTGATTTAGTTGTTTCATAATACATCTAAAAGCACTCGTGAAAATCATGTTAGTACATTTTTGAAGAAAGAAAGAAGGGCATCAATTTATTGGACACAAAGCCGCCAATAATGTAAGTTCGCTTTTTAGCTCACCTTTTTGATATGTTTGTTTTTGGCTACTTGCTTTCTTTAATTCTGTAAATTTCGTTTTCAGTTTCACGATACAATACAATGAAGTAAAGACAAACAAGATTTCCAGAACAAGCCTGTCTAAGATTTTTGCAGCATTCGTGAATCTTGCGCGGTCTTAAGCGGCAAACAAGTGCCGCTACAGAATGGTTATTCAATAGTAAAGAAGCACTGAGATCTTTATTTCAAAGCTGGCGAATTTTGCTGAATTAACGTCGTTACCATGGAAGGTATTTCCTTACATAACTCAAACTATCAGTGGCAATTTGCGTTTGATTGGTGTTTAGCTTTCCTTCCAAATGTTTAATTTTGCTCCCTCTAAGGAGACTTCAACTTCATAAAAACATCATGGTCAAAATCAACTTCTTCGTCCTTGATATTACATGTAGAAGTTCGAATTATTTATCCTTCTTAACCCAGGCTAACAGAAAACAGGAATACGTTGCATGAGGTTGTTATTTTTATAAGCGACCTGAGTGAAGCATTCTCTTTGAAAACCACATCTACGTGCCGTTGATCGCGAACCCTTACATTCTGTTGGCCCAGAATGACACTGTAATTGAGACCTTGGAATACCATGTGACCCCAACCGATGTTGTTTTCTGTTTGCACGCTCAATTCAATTTGAACTGAAAAACATCAATCGATCTGTTCTGGCAGTTACCGTTTGAAACTGTATTCAGTCTAATATCATGCCACTATCGAAGATTCCCAAAGACAGTAGAGAAGAGGGAGCTTCAGAGTGAAAATTGGAGGTAAGAAGAAATACATATATTTTGCATCGTATGATATTACAAAATTAACGCAGGAAATGTTTCGAAAGGGATAGTTAGAGCTATGGCCCCGGTTCCTTATAGGCTGATTAGCGCTAATCCAGGAATAAAAATTTTGTTCTATTCTTGTATTTGCCTTCCTATGCATTGCTTAGAATGAAATTTTGTGTCATCAGTGAATCTCGGAGTAAAGACACAAAAGTATTTTGTAAGCTCGAGTAACGTGTTCGTAGACAAGAAAACCTTGCATAAAATTTGGCTTAATCCTGGGTTAAACTTAATCATCTTTCGAGGAACAGGGCCACATATTCATATAACTATCTAGTTCGGATGAGAATGATAAGAGCTGATTTAATTTCTTTGTCATTTAACGCTACGGTGACATTAAAAAAGTATGTATCAGCCAATTTTCCCCAAGTCTAATGCGGGAGATTACATCTGGGAGCGCCAGAATTCAGAAAATTTGCCGTGATGACTTGACTACTTCTGAAGTCAGTTCCTTTATAAAAAAGTTGGGCTGAACACAATAAGTGAATGAGCTGGATCAGAGGATTGTCCATGCAATCAAAGGTAAGATATCAGTTATTTCAGGATAAACGTGAATTGACAAAAAACAGCATGGTTGTGTTCAAAGCGCCGGGGTTCAAAGCACTCTGCAAAGTGTCCTTAAGTGAAATCTCGGTTTAGGGAAAGAAGAAATCGATTTATCTATGATGATCTACTATGCGTTCTCCCCAGTTTTTCGCTTTTTCTCTTCTTCCTAACCGTTTATGTCCTGTCATACAAATGCCACTAGTGTTGAGCTTTTATTTCAGGTATTTATAATTTATTCGAGTTTTCCTTTATATTTTAGTGTATGCTAAGAAGTGCCATTCTTTAACGGTAAAGGAAGACAAAATGAGCAAGGGAGCCAGATGTGATTGGGGACGAATTATACGAAATAAATGTACAACTGTTGAAGGGCGATTGAAATGCAGATTGAAAAAGGAATAAACTCATCGGTGATCAGGATATCCAGGATGTTATATTGCTTTCGCAAAACCCATAAAACAATGGAAGTAGTATATATTGACTGTCTAATATGTTAGGGTCTATTTGCCTTATTGCTATCTCACAGGTTAGATTGGTTTAGAAACCGTTAAACACCATGGACACTAATTCCATTGTTTTGTTTCGTTTATCTTTGATTATTAAACAATATTGCCTAATTGTGTTTCACGGGTTTTGTGAAGTCACTCTAGGTGATTCAACTCTAAGCTAGTTTAAAAATGTTTTTGTGGTGTTCTCTTGCAGCTAAGCATTAAGCATGACTGATAAAAAGAATTTCTTACAATTACAAACAAAACAGAAATTCAGAAAAAAAAAAGAAAAAAAATGCACGCTTATTTAGTACAAATATAATGGAATATATAATATTATTAAAAACTGAATCATTGGATAATGCAATTCTAGCATTTTGATCGGCTTAGCCGTTATGGTATATGAGCTATTATACGATGCTCTCCATATATGGTCGGTGTACGCGTCAGTTTAAAATTGGAAGCTAGCTGAGATTTTTTTATAATTTTTTTTATAAATCACAAGTTACCAGCTACGAATACAGGCTATGCAGCCATTCACTAGAGCATTCCAGGCGGCAGTATAGCTTCTTTTCTCGTTCAGCAAAACCAGCTTGTGGCTTCAAACAACTTCATAACAAGCGACCGAGGTAATAGTTTTTCTCCGTTGTTCTTACTTTTATCACTGCACCGAAAATCCAAATTCACAGTAATTTCGACGGCTGTCACTTAAAAAATCTTTTCCTTAACATTTTCTGCCAGGTTTTCTTTAGCAGTTCTGCTGTGTAAAATCCTAGAATCTCGATGAGTTTTTAGAAAACTAATGTTCATCGCCACAATGTTTTGATTTTTCATTCATGCAGTTCAGGCGAGTCCGTTTGCGTGTTGACAGTTTTGATAGAAGTGTGACGTGAATAGCGGAAGTCCCTTGTCTTTTCCAGTTTGTTCTAGTCGGGGAGATTCAACGAGATTTTGTGGGTTTTTTTAATAAAACAATTATTCCACTCGTGCTTGTTGGATATGAGATGATTATAGCCAACTCGGCACTACGCGCCTCGCTGGCTATCTATCATCTCATATCCAACGTGCCCTCGTGGAATAATTGTTAAATGGAACATGGACTTGACATGGTGATCGTTGGAATGAAATTAAATAGTGCGACAGACTTTGTTGACATAAGAAGCATCTCTGATAACACTTTCGTGTAAATATTTCAGGCACCCAAGATCTCAATGATGGAAGTAAAAACAAAATAGAACACTGGAAACTCTTGACATACAAACAAAAAATCTCAGTCCCTGATACATTCATAACATGGAGAACAAGAGCTTTTTTGTGGCGGATGGCAAAAGTAATTTTTTTTCCAATTTTCTTCCAAAACATTTTGCAGGTCGACGCCGAGTTCCTATAGAAAAAGCAATACCTGCAATATGGAGGTCATGAGGGTTTTATTTGGGAAGAAATGACGCTTTGAAGTTCACACCAAATGACGTGACTAATATCCCAGTGTCAAAATGTCCAACTTCAGCTGGCTAAGTATAAAAAGGGAAATCGCGGGTTCGGGCACCTCAACAGCGCTGATTTTTTGCCAGTGCCATTCAAATATGTATTATTTTGTGAATTTCAGGTCAAAAGTTGTTTTCTTTGATAGTTGTTTAACAGACGGAGTTTAAATCTCCTAAACGCTAAACTAGCCAAAACAGTTGCTTAAAAATTGCGTGAGAAAAAAACTGCAAAATTCTGTGGGTCCACCCAATTATTCAGGCTGATTTGTTATTGATACCTTAGACAACACAGAATATGAGCTCGGCTCGGTGGAGGATGGTTCCAGAAAAGAGTCTGTCGCTACCCAGACCACACAGGCAAAGCCAAGCCAGATCGTAGTATTAACAAACTACAGTCCAAAATCATATTTCATGAGTTGAAAAATTTAGTGCCGGTAGGTTCAGGTAAGATTAAGTTATTTGTGCTGATGTAGAAATGCCATCACTGCATGTTTTTCCATTAGATAATTTGGTTTTATCAACCTGGTTGATAATGTGAATTGGCCACCGTAAAGAGATTCGAAAGCTGATATTTCACGAGTTAGCCCTTCGTCGGAGCGAATCCGCACCAAATTATCTTGTTATACTTCCCGCCGACACAGCATACAGTTTCTTTAGAAACTTACCCCTTCTATTCATGTTTTTCAAGTTCAATTTTCCGATTTTGTCATAACAAAAAGAGACACTCAAACAAATGATGTCAAGCGCCGTTTTTTTGCGAGAACAAAGTATCAAAATCACCGAATTTTGTTTGCATTTCTTTTGCACAGTACTGTATATTATTAAGTAATCGCATGATTCATCGCATGCAGATTAGATTACATTTTATTGTCAAAGACCACAAATTGCACTCGCCCATGTTAGCCTTTGAATATTTTACACGCTCATTTATCCCAAATTGCACTTCAAATCATGTGGTTACGTTTTATTCTTTGACTTGCTGGCATTTGCCTTCAAGGAAAGTGTACACGCCATAGTAGAACATGAAGTTTAAAATTAATTGGTAGTTCAGGATACTGGTACATAGAATTATTTAACGGTTACTTGTTACTTGGTCCAAGAGATGTGAAATTGCATAATTTGAAAGCTACTGGGAGAGACAGGAAGATATGGCATTTGTATGACCTGGCCGACTCAGTTTGGGGAGATAGACCTGGGTAGCTGCAAAGAAACCAATTGACACGAATAAGATAAGGTATACTGTCACTCACAAAAACATTCACCTTTACACATAGTATACTTAAATCAGTACAGTGTGCCATGACCCCTGTTGGCAAGATTTTTATTTCCATGAGTAAGGAAACTAAAAAAAATTAAAGTATAATGAAGAATGCGGTGGAGCTCTGATATCAACCTGACAACATGGCTACAGATGTACCTGTACAATTACTATCACCTAATATGATTAGATTTTTCTTTGCAGAATTTTGATTACCCAACAGCTGAAATGCTATTCAAACAAAGGGGTAATTTAACTCCACCAAAACGTCCATGCCCTAACAGCCACTATTTCTTCTAATTAAGAAAAAGTTTTTGATGGTGATGTTAACCGTAATGATGATGAAGATAATGTCCAACCAAGAAGCAAGAAGCCTGGAAGTAATTCTGACCTTCAAGTGAAAGACATGAAGGAGGTTTTGTTGGTATCATTGACAGTTTAGACAACGACGAATTTGTTGCAGAGGCTAGACTCAACAGTCTAGTGGAAAAGTGGAAAAACGGATCTTCCAGTAGAAGGAGCCCAGGTTTGCAGATTATTTTTAGAAATTGTATCACCCATAAATGTAATAATCCTGGAATAGCCAATCAAGAAAAATCAGTATCTATAAAAATCGATAGCAATCAAGTGATTTTTATCGATTGATAACAAAAATCAATGGAAATCTATGAACTAAATTGCTGTGTGAAATCGATATTATCGATTGTTCATGATTTTAACGATTCATAAAGTAAGTCCAACACTGTCGTTTTTTGGCATAAGTTAGATAGTACAGCTGAGAAAACACATCCACGAGTAACAACTGATCAACAAACATGAAAATAAGAAATGCGGAAACTATTACAAGACACAAGATTCTCTCTAAAACCGTGACCCTTTTGTACATAATAACAAAAATGGTTCAGTTCAATTACATTCGCAGTTCTCGCAGACAAGTACCACAAGAAATACAACCTTGCATAAAAGATTTCCCAGCCTGAATTTCAGACATCCCAAGAGTAGAAGGGATGCCTGAAATTCAGGGTAGAAGATTTCCCTAGGTAAATTTTCACCGTTTGATAAGCCAATATCGATTGACTACTCTGGGAATAAATCAATTAGAAATGTAATACTAAACATAAATTTAATAAAAGTCAATCATAAATGTAGTTTATTACCAACAATAAATTTAATAAATTTTGACCATAAATGTAATAAATATAATGTTATTATTACATGCAGCTTACGATTGTCAAAAGGTAGTCAGATGTTCTAATAGTGTTTAAGTTTTGTTAAAAAAGAAAGAAAAGATCGGGTAATAATAAAACATTCTCCTTCAAGCTTTCTGTTCATATCACCAATCCACTTTTCATGTATTACTACTACTAATTTCGCAATTTTGGTCAGACAGTGTTTCGCAGGGATGTCAAAAGAGCAACCAGGTTCATTCTAAAAATGAATGAACACAAAGTCCTTCTAAGTAAGCTCAATCTCTAACTCTTGAGCAAAGGCGTTTCATTTTCCATGACACCTTCTTGTTTCAGGCTCTTAATGGCCATTTAAGATGTCTACGTTAATCAACTCATAGATTTTCATACCCAAGAGGACCGCTACCTACTGAGACATTTTGATACTAAGTCAGTGAAAAGGAAACTTGCCAGGACACATGACTTTCCTTTATTCAAACTTGCAGACGTTTCGTGGTTGGAGCCCACAAACCTAATATTAAATCTATGAGCCCCAAAATTAAACATTGCAAATTTTGTAACGCAGGATTATAGTCATATCCTTCACATATATTTTATTGGTGTTTCTTGCTGTTCACACCCTCAAAGGAACGTTACTTTGTCTTAATCTTTAGTTATAAAGTTAGTTCCTTAGCTCTATCTTGTTATACTGTAGAATTCCAATAATACAGCCCGCGTTATTTTCGGATTTAGCAGGACAAAGAGGGCTGTTACTTTCAGGCAGCCGTTACCTTCGGATGGTTAGAAAACGTTTGTAATTCAGCTGTGGGTTTACACAAAGAGGACAGATGACAGACATTAAAAAGGTCATTCAGGTTGCATGCTGGTTACGGTATTCATTATCCATGTAAACAAAGCAAAATGTAACAAAAGTCTCAAATGTTCGTATACTATACGTCGAAAATATTGTTCGTATAATATGACAACTGTGATGACAAATACAGCTTTTATCGGTTTTTATACCCGTATGTCTGGTTCAAACAGGATTCAGTTAAAAGCTGAAATAAAATCACAAATGAGTCTGTACTTTGATTACCACAATCCAGCACTCAGGCTGTTCCATCCGAATTATGCTTGAGGGCAGACAGTTTTTCTTTCAATGATGCTTTTACATCTGGAAGGCTACTACTTCTCAAGAAAACTTCATATAAGCAAGGAAGCTCCAGTCCTCCTCCTTGGACCCAAGTGCCTTCTGGAGCACTCCTGTATTGTTCAGTGATCTTAGAATTGATAGTGATTTTGGCATCAACTACAGGCTGATAAAGAATTTCAGCCAGTGAATTGGGAACTTGCCCTGCAGTGTTTGCTCTGCTGCATGATGTGTGCTACTTTCTTTCATGTTGACGATAATGGCACACCCCAAGTGAGGATTTCCTGGCTCAGTGAAAGCAACCACAACTTGAATTAATCCATGGGTCAGCTTTATATACATGATCTCCTTTTATCTATGACTTGATGGTACAGAAATGCTTAAATGCAATGGCCATAAAAGTATATAAGGTTCAGAGTTGTATTTAGATACGGGTGTACAACTGTTACAGCTGCGTCACATGCATGACAAGTACACAAGGTTTCATTGTTTGTTACATGTCGAGTCACATGTCACACAGCTGACCTTTGGTCCGGGGCAGGAATTGCGCAAGAAAAACCTCGCAGCTACGCAGGCTACAATTCCATAATGGAGGAAACATGCTCAGTTTGTGAACGGGTCACTAAGTATAAGTGTATCAAATGCAAGATATCTGTGTGTGCCTTGTGTGCACCTGAAACAGCTCAAACGGTCCTATGAAATTGGTAGGAGTTCGTCAGACGTGCAAACGAAGGCCTGAAATAGACAAGGAGGCTAATACCACAGCTGATAGCCTGCCGCTGGGGTTGCACTTGTTTCCAGCAAAACAGAGCCCTGAAGCCAACGAAGCCAGCCAGACCTCCAGTCAGAAGACAGAACAAGTTGAATGGTTGAGGCAACAGTTTCACAGGAGAAAACAGTGGTTTCACGAACGGAAGCTAGAATTTATTGATTTGTATAAGAAGTACAAAAGCAAGGCCAAAGCAGTCAGAGAGTTCAAAGGACGATATAAAGTTGAGCTGAAGTCAAGCACCTACAACCCTTGGATTGCTCAAGAACTAAACCTACGAAATGACCCAAAAAAGTCCAGAAGGCCAGGTGCAGGTACACAGGCTTCTTATCTGGAAATGGAGAAGCAGCTCCACAATGAGTTCAAAGAATTACGAAGTAAAGGCATCAAAGTCAAAGAGTTGTGCTTCAGGAGCAGATGCAAGGAAATAATGAAAGAAAAATATCCTGACGCGGACTTAAAAATGTCTGACCATTGGCTTGTTCAATTTAAAGCCCGTTTTGATACATCTCTTTGAGGGTGAACCAGTGTTGCCCAGAGCCACCCAGAAACCCTGCAAATAAACATCCAGCAGTTTCACAGATATATTTGCGGAATGGCAATTAAGACGAAGCAAGATCTAGTTGGTAAACAAGACGGTGTGATTGGTCCTTGGAATTTGAGCGAC